CTCCTCTTGCTCCATATGTAAAAACATTTTAATCTAGGACGTCCTGCGTAACTACACTTTTACTTGACCTGGGGGAGATTATATGTATCGCCCTCTCTCCCTCTCTCCCCTCGAGTGCGGCGTTGGCCTTAATACACATCCTTGTGTAAATCACAGTGAGCACATGCCGCGTTCTTCATTTTATATAAATAAGCGGTTGATCTGTTATCGAGCTAGTATAATCTCGTCCAACTACAAGAGAAATAAATATACCCAACCTCTTTCAGAATACGGTGACGTCAAGCAAAATATGCTGACAGTGACCTGCAAGATGGGATTTATAAATAACACCATGAATGAATATTGTAATTTTTCTCGCCAGGGGAATTGATGAACACATTACACATTGTGCAACCTTCACGTAAACTACGCTGCTTACTGGGACATGGTTGGGTACATTTGAACATTAATTCAATAGACGACGCACCCGTATGATCACACTACCTATAACCATGGCAACTACATCAAGGTAAGTCATGCTTGAGCGCGATTTATTTTTGTTTTCATTCTTCGTGGTCCATCCATCCATCCTTAATTTTCCCAAATTGCAGGCACACTCACGGTGGCGATACTGTTGTTGAGCAAAACTTAGATCCAGAGAAAGGGTCACTGAATCACTGTAGCGCGCATGTTGAGTTATGCACAAATGTCCGGATGTCGAGTGTTTATTGAATTCAAAGAGTTCCAGTAGTTCTATTTATATATCTATTTGTTTGATATTACCGGAAATGAATAAAAATGTGCCTCTGATACATAGCGTTGTTTTGAAATGATGCGTGGTAAATTTCAGCGTTTTGTGGGGCCTCTTTGATGTAGATTTCACATCCATACCCATATTAATGTTTGATAATCCAGGTAGACGAAATCACTTACTTCGTAATTATGCACACGCGGTTTGACGAGTGACATGTACGTTTCACAGCTCATGCGAACTACATAAATCAGCACAACGCCACATGTCAGTTTCTTTACTCTTGTCGACTGTGACTGAAACTTGAAGTGATGCATCGTGGGAAATAGTCGTAGAGGTACAGTTGGGTGCAACCGTCACACGTACACATATCTCGCACACGGCGATTTCGAGCATTCCGAGTTTCATCATGACCGCGAATGTTGACATATTGACCTATTTGCAAAATCGGTAATTTTTAATTAATAATCGTTTGAATAATTTAACTGTACGCCGCCAAAATAAAGAGGTATACTTTGGGTATTACTTTCTGATGGATTTGAGATAAACAACCTGATAACAATGTATTCGACTACGCGACCTACCTTCAACATCTACGAGATACCGTATTTGTCCAAAAAAAATACTAGTTTGACCTCGGCCTGGTACATTTATATGACACAGGGGAAAGGTTATTTCTGGATGAAAAT